CCCCAGCTAAGCATGCAAAAGCATTCACCACTTCAATGTCAAATAAAACCTTAAAACCACCACAGCAAAGAGCAAAAGGCTGCTTCCTATGGGAGTTAATAGCTGATTGGCCATCTAATTCAGTGGCAGTAAGACTCAGCATTAAGTTGAAAACTGAATTTATAGGGAATATTTAATGCATTGCTATTAGATGAAGATTTAATTCTTATCGTTAGATTGTGTGGGAGACTGTACGTGAAAATAATGCTGTATTAAAATCTTTTTCTGATATGTAGAATTAGATATCAGCTTTCAAAGCAGACTTTCCCTAAACACTATTAACAATACATACATCTTGAAAATAACTATCAGTGACTGTTTAGTGACTTTTGTGAAATGACTAGTGGTTTCAGTGTGTTACCAGTGAACAGGTTACCATATCACAACCTACTGCAAATGGCAGCCTCTAGTGAGGCTGAAGACTAAACTCCCTTTTTCCTCCCATAGAGATGGTCCCTTTACATGAGGAATGGAGCACATGGCATGAAACAACATATGCAAGAAGGTTTCACAGATATTTCCCAATACTGAATTTGTTCTGTTGTTAAGGAACTTCTCATTTTAATGCTGAAATTCAGTAAAACAATGTGTCAGTCTTGTTGTGGCCACTATGTTAAACATGAAGAAGCTACACAAGTAAGATGGACATATAGTTATGTTATGACCTACAATAGTCGTCTAGGATGAAGAGTTCAAGGTTATAAGTTCCAAAATGAATGGAAAGCTCTACAGCTGCATGCCTAACTTCCAAAAGACTGCAAAAACTGGAGGGGGTGGGGGGCAGCAAAAAGGTGCCATAATCATGCAACAGAAACCCAGGACATGATAGAAATAGGTGTTGTCTGACAGATGAAGGAGATGATGGGTGGGAGTTGAATTCATAAAGGGATAAAGAGTCACCACAATTGTCTCAGAGATTTTGCTTCACAATAAGAAGATTCTCCAACTATAAAAATTAAGCCACAGTTTAGAAAACTATACTTGAGAGTGAGATAATCTTACAGCACACTTACATACCACAGCACATGTGATGTGCAATCTTGTGTATGGTTCTGCAGGGAAGTACATACATTAAGAACATTCTTCTCCAAAAGACAAAACTTAATGAATACTTCACTTACCTATTGCATAAATTTGTGCTGTAATTTGGAGAGCAAATGGGAATCTATACATCATTCCTATTACTTGAACACTATGTTCATAACATAGCACAATATACTGCAAAAAGTTTTATATACGCATTTCTTCTAGATGATGTCATTAAAGTTTATCAGAGTATCTTGCTGTCATCTAATTAAACATCAACTGAAACTGCTGAAGGATTTCAGAATTGTTCCTAAAGCATAATGATGAAGGAGCACAATAAACATCATTGTTCAACTGCCATACCCTTTAAGTTAATAATTAAAAAAAATAAAGCCCACTTATCTTGAAACAATAAGCACAACTGTCAAAAATAATAAAAATCAGAGCCAATTAAATGGAAAGTTAAGATAAATGCAGAAAGCTGTTAACATATCTTACATGCATACAGTATCTATAAAATATATGGCAAGGCCATTTAACAAAAAATATCCTTCCCCTATCTATACACACACACCAAAAATGTCAGTCCAGTTCTGCAGTAATAGATCCCTGATATTCTAGGAATTTGGTGTTGGAATATTAACCTTTCTGAAGTTTAAAACTTTCATGGACTATCCTATGGAATCTTAAGAGTCCTAAGTTACAAGGCTATATACATACTATTAAAATTTCTTACTGGTTAGGGAGAAAAGTTAAAACAAGTTCTTAAAAACTAAGAACACAGTTCATTTCTGAGAATAGGTTAAGCAGTACATTTGATGGATAAAAGCAGATTCAATTTTATAAGGGTTAGGCTGTGAAAAACTGATTACAATGTTTTTGTTGGGGGGGGAGGTTGGGGGGGGAAGGTTAAAGTTTGCATACCATCTGCTTCCACCCTACTGCTCCCTTTCTTCTTTATCTTTCTACAAGAAAGTTCTAAAGGGCAAGAATCTCTCTGATGAAGGCAAAGAGAATATTTATTCAGCATTAAAACACTTTTCACAAGTTTGTTTGCAACTAACTGAGCCCCACAATTAGGCACTTTTCCTGTTGAAGGCTTTTCAAAGCTTTTTTTTTTAAATCAAGGTGTCTGCTATTTGTTATCTCCTGGCTGAGAGGGTACGTGGCACAGACAACACCCTTCCCCCACTTCTGTGTTATTGATATTACCTTGACGGTAGGTGTAGCCCTACAATAATTCACTGGATGTAGAATACTCCACTTTTACTTTCCCTATGGATATGTCTTTCAGCCTGGTGTTCAGGTAGACTCTTTTTCTGTATTAATGGCACCCTTATAAAGGGAACTTTCTTCCATTCACATCCTTTCTTTTTTCTATGTAGGACCAACTTCCCTGGAAAACTATCTACACTCTGAATCTACCACTCTGTGCCAGAATGTCTCAAGTTTTAGAATTACTTCATGTCCCAAAGCAGTCACTGGCAAGTTTGGATTCACTTGGGAAATAACAAAGTGGGGCAGGAGGGGGGAAAAAAGAGACAATGATGAGAAACACTGGCTAGTAGCTATGCTAGAACTTCAATTCAGACTTACTGGTGGGAGCATGCTGCAAGATAAGGGACTCAGCAGTGGAGATGTGCACACCTCTTCCCTACTGCAGTTCAGCAGTCAGAAAATAAATGTCTCGTTTTGTTGAGAACCTCCTAACAAGATACACAAAGGGAGGAGTGGGCTCCCAACAGTATAGCTTATCAGGGCATAGAAGGAATCAGAGGGCTCTGGGAATTACAAAGAGCACCTGACAGGGTTTATTTCATAACTCTTTGGCTGACACACTTTGTGGTGCTTTGTCACTTACATCAATAAGTCTGTTGCATTTGTTCAAAACTTATGCATCCTAGAGTGCTTTTCCTGTGGATGCCTCTGGTTCTCCACTTACAGTACCTTGCAAGATGCTATACCTTGCCAGACTCCAACTGCAGCATTAGCTAAAACCTATTTAACTGCAGAGGGGAAAAAAAAGTAAGTAAACATTTCAATTCTTAAGAAATAAAAGAAGTGCTTAAGATATAATTTTAGCCATTAAGTTAAAACTGTCCACTTTCTCCCACTCAAGTGCCAAAAAAAAAGAGTTTACTATTTACACAAATTGTCAACAGACTGAACTCAAAAACATGAACTGAGTGTACTTGACAAATCCCCAGTAACCAACCTTACTGTAATTTATGGTTACAGCAAGAAAAACATATAAGAAAGCCATACACAGTATTAAGGAGACTTTGCACTTTTCATCATGCCCAGCCCTTGGTAGTTCAGATGGGGTACTTGCAAGCAGGCAGGGTCATCATCAGTTGTTTGTGTAGGGATACCTCACAGATTTCACCATTCACTCTGAAGACAGGCAATTTGATGTGTGCTTTTTAGTTTCTTTGTTTTTAGAAGTCTTTAGGAGTTGCATCACTCGGAATCAGATAAGTCACTTTAAACAAAGCAAAGCATTAAGTGTGACAATTTATCTAGAATGTACTCCCCACAATACCACCACACACCACCCCATGAAAAGAAAAACCTCTCCACTAAGAGGGAAAATGTTAGGATTATCAAGAGGAATTAGACCTGCCCAGCATGAAAATGTCAGCTCAGGTCTGATGGGGGCAAACAAAACAAAACAAAACAAAACAAAACAAAACAAAACAAAAAACCCCCAAACCTCAGTTCCAAGTATAAAAAATATTCATATTTAGAGTGGGTGTGGCTTCTTGTCAGCTTGCTCACTGTACAAGGGACCCTAAAAAAAGAAAACTCTTCCAGAGGTCTAGAAGAATCCTCTACCAACTCAGTGCTAGGTTGTTTACAAACCTTCTTCTGAAGCACATGGGGGCAGTTCCCAAGCATGTGAGCTTATTTGATCCGATAAGGCAGAACCTATGCTCTTTTGGCAAAAGCCCAACTGGGTGGTGCCTATCTCCCTCACTTCCAAATTAAGTGTTGTGCACTGCAGAATCAGCAGTTCAGGAAGAGGGAAGTCCCTCTTAGGGGAAAGGAGGAAGCAAGTTGCAGCAAGGGAAGTTTAGGTTAGATATCAGGAAAAAACCCTCTCACTAAGAGGGCAGTAAATCACTGGAACAGGCTACCCAGAAAGGTTGTGGACTCTCCATCCTTGGAGGTTTTTAAGACCCAACTAGACAAAGACTTGGCTGGGATGATCTAGTTGGGAATGGTCCTACTTTGAGCAGAGGGTTGAACTAGATGACCTCCTGAGGTCCCTTCTAACCCTCATTTTCTGTGATTCTCTGAAGAGCAATATATTTCATGGAACCCACTGCTCACAGTTCAGAAATCTGCTTGCCCACAGCAGAAGGAGAAGTACTGGATTTCTTTCCTTGCACCTCATTCCTGTGTTTCTGAAAACTGCCCAGAGAAATAACCTGCCACAATGTTTAAGTAATGTTTCAGAACAATGTACTTGCTGCACACTGGTTTACATAATGTGGTAATTAATCTGGGGGTTCTCCACACCTCTGCAGAAGGCAGGCCATTCCCATGCCTAAGAAGAGCACAGTGATGTCACGAGCCCTACCCAACTGGCATTGTTTTAACATGTAGGAGCAGAAGTGGGAAAAGAATCATTTTACAATGCTGTCCAGCAGCACCCAATTGTATAACCAATTATAAAACTAAACTTGAAGTGACAGTACAAGCAAAAACAGGACACTTGGGCTATCTTTCCATTTAAAATGAAGATTACAACAGAAAGAAAAAGCCCTGTCCAACCATCTAGATGGGTTCACTTTTATTCCCCTGAATGGAAGAATCCATTCTTTTGGATTAGCATCACCAAACACTCTAGTTGTGTTAAAACAAAGTTGTAAAGATGGACGCTGCTTATGTTCTGGCAACACAGTTGTTAGGAAAGGGCCTGATCCAGGTGTGTCACCAGAAGTGGATCTTTGTTATAGATGCAAAATGACAAAGCCTCCACACACACTATTTCTCGGAGTCTCTACAGGAGGCAGAGAGGTCTAAGAGACTAAAACAGGAACCCTAACAACGAAAAGGGGTGTGTGCTTACAAGGGTCCATATCTGATTTCATATTTAGAGACAATGTTCTTGCATCTCCCCACTTCCTTGCGCAGTTCTGCCACCTCCGTCCTCAAAGCTGTATTCTCTTTCTCCAGAAAGGCTGCTCGGATTGTGATCTGGTTCTCTTTCAGCCGCCGAGCATCACGGGAGCGCTTTGCTGCCACGTTGTTCTTCTTCCGCCTCGTCCAATATTTTTCATCCTGAAGGAAAGAAGGGATGCTAGTCCAATTGGCTTTGAAATGCTGAACTGTCCCAAACAGATACCTTTCTGCCCCACCATAACCACCTGATTGCTGCCTGTACATCACTGCAGGACCTTGGGCAGGCATGGTTCAAATATTAACTGAAATTCAGGCAAAAGCATAACATAGGATTTTGGACTCCTGAGAGACTTTGGTTAAATCAAGGGTGCAAAGTGATGTTAAATTAAACAAGGGAACATTTCAGTTAGTAATCAAGAACAATTTCTTAACACTTAATTCTATCAGGCTGGGGCATAGTTTTCCACAGAAAGCGATAGATGTTCTGTTGCCTCATTAACAACTGAACTAGACAAACGCATTGGCAAATAGGTACTGAAAAATACTTATATTCTGAGGAACAGCTTGCACTACTGAAGAAGGGAAAAGATGGCATGAACAAGCTGTGACATAACAGTCTTTCTCCCTCTAATTTCTCTGTCCAGGGCTACAGATCACACCTGCCCAGTAACTGACTCACTTCACTGCACCAAGCTAGCAAAACTGCAGTAGCCTTCCTATCCACACAAGAATAGCAATCAGCCTACCATAGACAATGCTCCTCATCCAATTCTGCAAGTACAGTACATTAGCTTTGCCCCAGTTATTTAATAGATAAAAAAGAGCAATGCAAACTTTAAGCACAGCATTATAACAAATACTTACCTTTTGTTCATCTGGAACAAAAACCTTCTTGGCCTTTTTAATCATAGGCTGTGGTTTCAGGTCCTCTTCGGTAAACTTGTGCTTGCGGGGGTTGAAGAGCTCACCACCAGGCACACTGGAAAGCACTAAGTCAGCAGGATCAGGGTTAAAATTCACCTCAACCTCAACACAGTCTGGATCAATGGGACTGGGCGTATCTCTTTCATTCTGTGGAGGGGCCTCTGGCAAAGGCAGGAGAACATCACAATATGAGAACAAGAGTGATGAATCCATGCACCCATATGCACATCTCTGTTCACTGTCTTACTGTATGCAGTATTTAACTACCATCATTTAGCACACACCTGAAGTATCCTGGGGGCCACCCACAACATGGTGCATCTCCTAAAAGAGGCAGTGTCACAGCCCTGCAGTGATGCTGAACAGTGGAAGAATAGAAGCCGTAGTAATGCGTGCCAGAGTAATATACAATGGGAGGAAAATGGCACAACATATTAACCACTCTCCTAAACAAAAGCCTTATGCACTTTGCTACACATAAAAAAAATGCATTTCCCCCAGCAGAGTGAAATGAGAGAAATTCACAGAACTCTAGCTGCCTGCCATTTTCTGCCTTGGAAATTCCCATGGAAACATGAGCCTGTTCAGATATTCCTCTCACTCACTGTCTGGTCTTCAACGGACAAATCACTTTAAAAAAAAAACATAAAAAATATCTGTGTACTATAGATCTATATATAGTGTTCTTCCTCTTTGCTATATGGCAATGTCATAACAGATGGCCTGGCATAGAAGAGATTTGTACTGTGACAAAAATAGAGTTATAGCATGACCTTTAAGGACATTGAGATAAGCAGTGTATTATAGCAATCTTATGGTTATATGGTGTATTTCACAGCAATGGATGGCAAAGTTTAGTGCCAATAAAGTAGGCAGATAAATTAATCTTTCCACCCATCAATAAAATTCAGCCACATCTAGGCTATGGCTATATCATGCAAGAATTTCAGAAAAGTAGGACCTCCTCTCCTATAACTAAAGTTTAACATAAAACATCAGACATAAACATGGAAGCTACAAGTTAGCATGCAGACAAGAAGCCAACTTACAGCTCCTGTCGTAAGAGCTTTTGCTTCATATTATATACTTATCTGCCAGGTTTCCATAGGGCGGGGGGTGTCAGAGCACAGGCCTCTTCTATAAAGCTCACTCCCAGTACAGCAATGTACAGACTTATTGGCTATTATATGGCATTCAAGTGTAGGACTAACCTGAGATTCTAGGCTCCTTCCCAGAGCAGGAATCAGAAGGTAGTTGGATTGCTAGTACTAGTGCAGTGTTTCTTTCTTTGGGTAAGGACACACAACACAATTACCGCAGAGTAAATGACTCCCTGTTTTATTCCATAGAAATAGAAGAACAAACAGCTGTTCCAAACTACATGCCTTGCTGTTACTGTACCTGCCCATTAGGTGGCAGAGGAAATGGTTTACACTGGAAAAAAAAGAGGTTTCTATGGGATGAAACAGACAAGAGCAGTGGACACATGACACATTGTAGTAAAGTTACTGCACATTTTTCAAAGAGTAACTTTATGCTGGATTTGAGCAAGGCACTATGTAGTAGAGCTACACATCATGTTTCCACTTCACTTCTGCTACATAGTAAATGGATCATTTGGCTGCATCCTGTCTCTGCATTGCTACCACAAGTGGTCAAGAAACTTCCAAATAGTCCCAGGAACTTCCAAGTACTAGTAGAAACAGCCTCTCTCTAAAAATTAAGATTTCATAATTTATGAAAATCTAACAAGAAAGCCTAACCCTCACAGTTCACTGGATGGATGTTAACGTATATATAGATGTATCTAAATGGACTGAATCACTAATGGCTCACAAGTACTTATTTGAAACGATTAAATCTCCAAGCATTACAACAGGTACTTTTCACAAGAATTCCAGCACTAACCTATAAAAGCTGGAAGAATTACTGAAAAAGGAAGGCTATTTTCTGTTCATATTTCAGCACTTCTGATATGAAAAGGAATAAGAAAGTTTGAGGTGGAAGGGGTGCAGGGGAGGGAGAAGGGATGGAGGACAATTCAGTTTGAGTTCTGGGAGGTTTGTGCTACATTAATACTTATTTTAGCTAGGCTGGTTCCCTAAGCTCTAGCATCAAGAGACAAAATCTGTGAACTGCTATATTGAATGTAAAGTGGTTAAATGGCAATGGACAGGGGCATTTAGACATTTTGGAAATGAGAAAAAATATCTTCACCAACATTGTCATGAACTGTCCCAGTGGATGAAACACTGTCAAAGGGACACAATTATATTGTTTAAGCTGCCTTAGCTAACTGTGGCATGGCAGTCATGCTTCTCCCCAGATTGAGGTGATCTCTCTTTCCACATCACAACAGAAACCCCTCACATGGCCCCAAGTCATTTCACCCACCTGTACTTGAGGCTGCTTCTGACTGTTGGAAAACTGCAGTGGAAGAAGAGGATGATGGTGAGGCAGCAGATGCACTGGCACCCTCTTTTCCTTCCAGCTCAGCCACAGGCAAGAGGGGGTTCTGGTTCAAATCCAGATGGTTAGGGCTGGAAGGAATACCATTCTCCAGAAGAAACTCATCGAGATCCATGTACTCCAGGTGGAAAGACTCCCCATCATAAGGGATAGTTTTGTCCCAGATGGGAGGCATAAGGGAGGCAGAGACTGCCATAGTGCTGGCAGCTGCTGCTTCATCCTCCTCGAGTTTTTCCTTTTTTTCTTTATCTGAAAGATACAAGTTACAGTCAATGTACACTTTGCAGTTTAGAAAATTAAAGCAAGGTTAAAGGAACAGTAACAATATATCTTGGACTCCATCAGAGAAATAAAACCCAGTAAGCACTGTTCCCACTCCATGACATGCTTATAATATTGGTTGGCTCAGACAAACATTTACATGAAACCCACACCTAACATGGAGTGCTTTTATTTTCCTGTAATGGCTGGACCACAAAGATTTACTAGTACAGGGTGTTTATAAAGTCCTTGTGAAACTTTGAACTTTAATAACTTTGGATATATATGTAACAGAAGCAAACTGTAAATGTCGATTGAAAGCATATTTCATTAAGTGTTTTTAGCATAGTGTAAAGTATGCACAGGGTAAGAATCACAAACGCAATTCATGAAATCCCCCAGCAGCAACTGGAAAATGTTTTTTATGAGTTGGAAAATCTAATTGAACAATGTATTATGAAAGATGGCAGTTATAGTGAAGTCTAGAAATTTGAGCTGTATTGTATTAAAACTTAATGAATTATGCTTTCAATCACTGTTTACAGTTTGCTTCTATCATGTGTACATCCAAAGTTATTAAAGTTTAAATTTATACAAGGACTTTATAAACACCCTGTATACTAAAGTCTTGGAGATAACAGAGCTTTTAGCTCTGACAATAGAGACTCCAACTTTTAGAGTCTGAAAATGAATTAAAGACTTGACAATCTACCCTAGTGTTGTTTAACTAAAGGGTGGCCAACCTGCAGCACCCATGCCCCAAACGGCATGGAAAGCCTCTGTGTGGGGGACACAGTATATTGGAGAGGGGACAGGCAGCACAGTAACATATAAGGCAGAAAGCAGAGCAGCAGATTGGACAGGGAACAGAAAGCAGAGCAGCAAATTGGGCAGGGGAAGGGGATTAGAGTGGCACTGGGGGGGGGG